ATGTGTTTTTGTAAAACGTCTAAGTATTGTTCAGTATTAAAATGCAATAGGGTTCTATAGGAAAGAAATGACAAGTGAAAATGCTTTGATATCTTAGAGTGTAGTGCAACTTTGACATAGAAAAGCCAACAAGGCATAATTAGGAAAATAAGAAAGATTCAAGATATAATTGGGAGTGTGAGAAGGAGAGGAAGGAAGCAAAACTGGGTATCATAAAGGAATAAGGAAAGATAATTAAATTGGGATGTTTAGGAAAGAGGTGAGCCATATAGCCATCTGCTGCCTGTCAGGAAAGAGGTCATCTGAGAAAAACTAAGCTGTTTTTTCAAAAGCAAGCTGAATGCGGTACGAGTGATGAAATAAAAAAGATCGTAAATGCAGAAAATTTAAGAACAGAACAAGAGAGTGAAAAGAAAATTTAAGTGTGAACTCTATACACATGAACATTGGTCCCACATGAAGTACTTCTGTAACTAGCAGTCAGATGCTACTTAAACTACCAGATTTGGTCTCCAGCTCTAACTCTCTTGGGCTTCCCTGGTAGCTCAGATGTTAAAAAATCCACCTGCAATGCAGGAGCCCCTGATTTGATCCCTGGGTTCAAAAGATCCCTTGGAGAAGGGAATGGCTCCCTGCCCCAGTACTCTCGGGCTTCCTGGGGGCTCAGACAGTAAAGAATCTGCCCGCAATGCAGGAGACCTGGGTTCGATATCTGGGTTGGGAAGACCCTTATCTAAAGAGTCAGACATAACTGAGTGATTTTCACTTCTCTTCACATCTAATCCTCTAGAACAGGGGAAAAATGATAGGGGAAAACAGCGCTGTTGGGGATTAAATTCTGGGAGATAGGACATTGCTCTGTTTTCCACTATTAGGGTTTCTCTAAACTTTTCAGAGTTTTGTGAATTTTAATAAATGGGCTCATTTTACTAAATTGTTCAGAGACTGGCTTTCCTCATCAATAAATTAATAAAATTATTTAGTTCACATTGAGGATCTATCAGTTTCTTCCAGTTTTTAATGTCTTAGGCTTTCAACAAAGATGGTGAAAGCAGAGAAAATTTATGTGGAATCACCATTCTGAAACAGCTATAGGTACAGTTGCAAGAAACTAGAAGAGTCTACTGGGCTTAAAATGAATGCCACTTTTCAACAGAAGGGGAAAAATCCTATAGTATATTCAATTAATCATGTTGAATTTTGCATAGTGTAGTTATTCATATTGTCACTCTGGTAACAATGGTGTGCCATGAAACTCAACAGTACAAAGATTTAAGAAAAAGTAAAACAAGTTTGGCCTAAGATGAAAATACTAATGCATTCTTTGCGTATGTGTGTGTGTGTGTGTGTGTGTGTGTGTATAATTTATTCAGCTGCACTGAGTCTTTGTTGTGGTACGTGGGATTTTTAGTTACAGCATATGGTATCTAGTTCCCTGCAGGGACTGAACCTGTGCCCCTTGCATTGGGAGCATGGAGTGTTAGCCACTGGGAAGTCCCAGAAAATACTAATACATTCTTATACCCCCGAGTCAGTTGTCAAGCAGGCTGCACCATTCAGAAATACATTTTCTTTCAGGATGGTACCCTAGTTTCCCGGTTACAACTTAATTAATCGGCTCTTTTTATAGTCACCTAAGTTTGCAATCTCCCAGCGTCAGATCTTTCCAGCTAAACAAAAGGTAAGAAAAAATTTAAAGCCCAGGCAAAGGAGACAAATGAATGGTTCCAGAATTGCCTTGATGAAAACTATAAACTATTAACATGATAACATAATTACGGTGGGGAACCACTAACCACGCACAGAAAAACTTTAGAATCACATATACATGTTGTAATGTTTTCATATTTTATGCATTGTCTAAATAGTAAATTCGAGCCCTGTATTAGATTGCTTACTCTCTACTTGAATGCATCATCTAAGATGGTAAGAACACGAAATTATATTGCCTTATGAAAGAAATACTCATTTAAAACAGCTGACATAGTCACTATACCTCTAGTCGATTTCAAAGGTGACATTTTGCCTAATATAATAAAGACAAAGAGTGTCTTGATTTTAGAAGAGTCAGTAAGGGAGAGAGTAATTCTAGTATTTATGGAATAAAACCCTAATGTGCTAATAGGTAGATTGGTTTGGGAAATAACACAGCAGACACAATTACCAGGATTGTCTCTGTTCTACTCTTACCGGCTCCAGGATAAAGAAGAATCAATTAGTCCTCCACAGACTATGACCTTGAAGGCTACAGTTCTGTGCATAATACACTGAATATGCTGAGCCAGACAGAAATGGAGAATCAAGTTCTGAGACCTCGCAAGAGCATGGTTCAGATATGATAATGTCTTTTTAAAACATAAGCTGTGACAGCTTCAGGCATGTCAAAAGCATGCAGGATGGTGAAAGAAAAGCCCCGTTCTTTCTGTGACTAAGCGATAGTTTCTTAGCAGAAGAGCAAAACGTGAAAGAGATTTCAGAATGATTATTTAATGCCCAGCTTTTCCTTCTTTCTTTTTTTTTTGCCCTCCTTTGGTTAATGGTTACAAGCTTCTTAAACAGCTAAACAATCACTGAAAAGTGTTTAAAACCAAAGCTCCCTGGACCAGTGCTTTTCCAAAATAAAAGAAATATAGACTCACAATTTTTAGGATATTTATGTTTTTGTTGTTTTCAGGCACTAGTTCAAAAAAGGAACCCTAGGGGTCTCACACAGCAAACCCTATAGGCAGTAAAGTGTTAACCAACTGTCTAGCCCTAACTTTCCAGAAAACTACATCCCAGACAGCTTTTGCAGGCTTATCTCCAATGCACTCAGAGTGCTGCAGCTGTGTATCTGGCCAGAACTGGCTACTATGATGCTTTTAGACAGTAGTAAATCTTCTCCACTCAATAGAAACGCCAGAAAAATCAATGTCCAGGCTTGGGAAAAAAAAGAAAAGAAACTGTATGGAATGTATAATCTATTAAAACACTTAGGAAAAGAATTTACCTTAGAAAAGAATTTCTCAAAACATCACAAGATACTTTTTTAAAACAGTCCTAGATCAGGAAAATGTGCTGGAGGTTTCTTTGTTTGCTTGTTTTCCTTCAATGACAAAATTATAGGATTGAGTGGAAGAGTTTTCCAAAGGGTCTTCTTTCTTTTTCTGAACAGCTAAACTGACTCAGGCACATTTTAATTCAAGACTGAAGTTGAAAATGATAAAAAGACAAAAGAAGTAACCTAGTCTTCACGGTGAATTTTGCTTCTCTTTGCAGGATCTGTACTTGCTTTTTATAGCCTGTCATTTCATCTGGGTATTATTTCCCGGTCACTTTGCCAGGTGGGAAGAGGCGGTGAATACAGTGATGGCTGTCAGATCTTTAATGATGCTTCAGGGATTTGATAAAGATACAAAGCAGGGTCTGCAGAAAGGAGGTTCTTCCCTAATTACACCTGAAAAGCAAGCCTCTTTTTTTTTTCTTTAAATCTTTGCCACTGAAACTGGTGTGTATGAAATGAGCCTGAATCACAAGCACAAATCAAGTTTTTCTGCATTTCTAGAACATATGGCTCTCCCGCATACTGAACAACATGTCTGCAAAAGATATTTTTAATCTTCATTACCATCTAGAGGGAAACAGTAGGGGTATTTCATCACAGAATCTTTACCCTCACCTCTCCTAGACTTTACGCATGATATTCCAACCGAATTCCCTGATCCTTTACTTTTTTCTAAGGAAACAGTTTCAATGGTGAAAAGAAGAGAAGACAGTGAAACAAAAATAAATTCAAAACTTTTTAAAAAGCTATAGAAAATGTCTCTCTTCTATAATGATGTTTAAAACCATCTGACTAGTCATGGTTTCATCCTTGTCAACTTTTCCATTACAAAGCATTGCAATGACCCAGTACGGACAGCAGTAGGACTGCTCTGTATTGTTTTAAGAGCATGGGCTCTCTTCACTCACAGATTATTAAATAGGACTGCTGCAATCTTATGGACAAAAAAGACACATCTGAAAAAAAAAAGATTTATCTTACTAACGCACCTTGTACTTTCTAATGACTGTCAAGGAAGTTATTTAAATATTTGATTCCAGAAGGCAAAACTAATGTGGACAAACCATAATAGGAAAGAATATTAAAAGAATATATGTATATGTAGATATACATATATATATATACACACACACACACCCCAGAGTCACTATACTGTACAGAAGAAATTAACACAACATTGTAAAATCAACTATACTTGAATAAAATAAAATAAAATAAAATAAAATAATTTGGGAAAAATCTTTTCATGTAGAATTGTACCAGATCCTGAATAAAACTGCCCCTAACAAGTGCTCAAGCAACTCAAACTAAAATCTGAGCATGACAGCAACCTTCTGATGCTGGTAAGAGGTGAGTGCTGCAAACATCTAAGACTTCATGCGGTATCGGGAAGAAGCAATTAAAGTACAAACGTGGGGAGAAGTGGTTTAGGGAACAGGAAGAAGAGATGGAGAAAGATAACTGGCAACTTGGGCTGGCTGGAAGGCAAAGGATAACAGGAAGGTGAGGAGAGGTGATGGAAAGTTTACATGGGAAAAAAAAAATCAGGATCGTACTCACTGCTGTACAGAAGTTACATTTATATGTATGCATTATATATATATATATACATATATACATATATGTATATAATGGTCTGATGTTTTCATCTTAAAAAGTGTTAGAAACCAATGGAATTGAGCTGAAAGTCAAGCATGGCTCAGAGATGCTGAAGCTTTGGGTCGCTCACCCCAGATTTCACCATCCAGGAAGAGGGAGCATCAGTTCTACCCAGCAGTTTGCAAGGTCTTTTCACTCATCTCTCCCTGAGCAGCCCAGTCACATGATGCACTTAAACCAAAGCGAGCCATTCAACTCCGAGAAGGCAAGGACCCCGCTCTACCTCTCAAGAACCCTCCGGAGGACCTCAAGCCCACCCATCTCCTCTACACACCCTCACCTGTCTCTCTCTACTTACAAAGTTTAGGAGCAGTTTGGAGATTAGTTTCTGTTGATGGTGGCTGAGTGGCTGTCTCGGATGGTCTCACGGCAGGGCTCCGAGTGGGTGGAGGGAAGGATGGGGCAGTGGACGGCCGGAAAGAAAAAGCGAAGATACGGTTCTTGGGGGTGGGGCCCGCCGAGGGCTCTGAGGACCCAAGGGTATTGTCAACTTGCACTGTAACTCGAACCTCAGTTTCAGACTGAGCCCTGGAGACAGGTGAAGTGTACGCCTTGGCTGAAACCCACACAGCAGCTGAAGCTGCAGTTGGATCCAGAGAAATAATAGGATCCTGGCCTAATCCCCCAGGGTCAAGGTGAGTGGGAGAGTCATACTCAAAAATCTTGTCCACAAACACCCACTTGAGGCCGGCGATGCAGAGGCAGAGGCTGATCAGACAAGCCAGGATGGGGACGATGCAGATTTTCTCTGAGTTGAGGCAACCTCTCAGGCGCTCGGTTTCCAGGCAGACGCAGCAGGGAAGAGTCAGGCCCACGAGCCCCGGGGACCTCCCATCTTCAGTCTGGGTCTCCGGCATGTCTTCGGCTGCCGGAAGCCCGTCCAGAGATGGGTCTGCACTCAGCTGAGTGGAAGGGCTCGAGGACCTCTCAGCAGCTCCCTCGGACATGTCTGGGGAATAAATCTCCATCGGCTCACCTCCAGGAGGCCTGGCCTCTCGCACTGTCCATTACCATGCAGAGCCCCCCCCAACCAAATGATACAGCATCTTACAGGGAGGAATCGATAAGTCGTCCAAGGCCATTATCAAAAGCAAGAGGAGTTCGGGAGGAAGGCAGGGGAGGCCAAAAAAAAAAAAAGCCTCTAGCAACAACCAAATAAAAGTATATTGTAATTCTTGACTGCTGTTTCTGGGCCACTTTTGCAGTTCTTTTATATGCTTCTCCAAACCATCCTGGCAGGGTCAGGAAGACGGGAGGCCAGCGGAGAAACCCAGGAGCTGATGCGGCGGCGGTCAGTTAAGTAAACCAGTAGCCCAAACTGAAAGGCATGTTTCTCACCTCGAGCAGCTGAAGCTGGGGTCTGCTCAGATGGAGAAAGCAACTGTCATGCAGAAGAAGTAAAAGCAGGAGCAGGACCAGCGGCGGCGGCGGCGGCGGCAGCAGCGGCGGCGGCAGGAGCGCCAGTAGCAACAGCATCCTGTGGTGTGAGCGCGGCGGCTGAAAGGGGCTGAATCATCACAGAGCAGCAGGTGCCTGCCCTCCGAGCATCGCGGCGAACCGTCTCATCGCAGAGCGAGCTGGAGGCGAGAGCGCGGCCGGGAGGGGCGGTCGCCGCGCTCGCCGCCCTGCCTTCCCCCCAGCCCCCGGGCCACTCCTCTTTGTCCTTCCCGAGCGCTCATTCACTTTCTTCCTCTGCGGCTCTTGCCTTCTCCACAGTCTCTTCCCCTTGCCTCCCCCCTCCTCATCCAGAGACTCTCTCTCTCCCCTCTCTCTTTCTTTTTTTCCTCCCTCCTCTCCCAGCCCCCACCCCTCTAATCTCTGGGGCTGCTGGCTGGTCTGAGTAGAATCAGGATACCCAGCAAGGCGGGACTGCCAGTGACTTCCTATTTTATCCAATTAGAAGGAATAAAGGCCATCAAATCAAAGAGAAGCAGGCAGACACCAGTTAAGCTGAGTCCCCATGGCCCCCACCCAGCTAGCCTCCTTCTCTCTCTATCTTTGTTTTTTTTCCTTCCTACCAAAGCTGCCCTAATCTTCCACCCCCACCTCAAATGCTCTAAAGTCTCCCTGGTTCTCTCTTCTGCACCCACTGTTGGGTCAGAAAAAGCCAGCGATCAATGCTAGCAATCTAACAAAGCTAGGATGGGGCGGGGGGTGGATGTAGGTGGGACCTTATGGGTTGGACCTGAGGCTTGGCAAAGTCTGATATCTGATTCCTCCCTAGAGAGGTAAGCTTTTCAACAGCAATTTCTTTCTGCCTGCTGCAGAGAGATAGCATTCCATCCCCAGCCCTCTAATAAGTTTTGTTCACTGAGAGGACTGTTATTGCCTGGCGTTTCAACCGACAGCAAGAACGTTTTTTTTTTTTTTTTTTTTCCCTCCTAACCATGGACAGCTCTGCCTTCAGCCCTTGTCGCAATGATTGGGTTAAGACTTGGTGATGCCCAAGTGTGAAGTGTGGAATATACATTGGAGAAGGGGGTGCTCAGGGAGGGGAGAGAGGTCTTTATGTGCCCACACTGGTCCCCTTTAAATTTCCATCCTCCTGTCCCACTCACAGCAGTCCCGGACTGATGTCCAGCCAACAAGAAACACCAGTAAGTAACAGCTATAGAGGAGGCTCCCGCTTCATCTTGAAATTAGCCTTCACTGGGACTCCACACTACGGAGGCTGAATTCCCTGAGCGCTGTAACGTATACCACATGTCCTCAGCTATAAGTGCACTGCAAGGATTGAGAAGACTTTTCTATAAGAGCACGCCTTTAGGGTTAAGTTTCAGGAGCTTTACCTTAAAGATAGTTTCACTGCCGACTCTTTTCTTTTTTCTTTAAAACAGCAGTGGTTAAAAGGCTGGAAGAAATGCACTGTCCTTAATACAGAGAACAGGCTGCCCTGACCCTCCTGTTCCTGCGTGTCCGCATCTGAATATTTAATCCATGCTTTACTGTGACTGGACACCTGAATGGTTTCCAAGGAACCATTCCGTTCACCTATATCAATAGGAGTCTTAAAAACTGTCTCTAAATCCATACTACATAACCATCATGTGAGTCCCAGAAGCAATAAAATTTAAAGCTGAAGTCCTGAGAGAATCTGCTTTAAGCACGTTCCATTTTGTAAAACACAATCTCCACTGCTTTGAAATATTTTTAAGCTTCTAAGTGGGCATGAGATAACATTATCATTTCTTTCAAAATGAAATTAGCCCATAATTATAAGTGATTTAAAGGGTAGTGATATCTGAAAATGTGTTTGCAGTACTATAACTAACAACAACAACAAAAGCCTGAACCAATTTGCATAATTGTAATTATGGCTCTGACAAGATTCTGGGCAAAATGAATTATCCTTAAGTTCACCTCTGTATAACCTGCATTTATATAGCAGTAACTCATACTTTAAAATAATTCCTATGCCCACTTTCTAACTTTTAACTATTTGATTTTAAAGCAGAGAGATTTTTCTTAAAGATTCAAGCAACAGACATGAAATTTCACATCATCGAAAATCTATAGGGAGGCATTTACAGAATTCAAACTGAGAGGAATTAAGATCTTAATGATCATTATTCATGAAATGTTCAAAATCAATTAGGCAAGTAAATACTTATGCTAAATTACGATCATTTATAATTCCTTTAGATATCACCCAGGTTAAATTTGTGGTACTTAATTTCATGATTCTGCCCCAAACCAGTATTTCACGCAAGTATCATACTCACACATTGGCATTTCACCCACAGCCAAGGTCACCTAGATTTCAAAGACTAACTAACACGAATTCAGAGCCCAGATCAGGCAGGGAAGCACAGATACTGAGAAAAGTAACCTGTAATTAAGAAAAGTGCTCCTTCAGTTGTGCCCATACCAACTATTCACCTTGCCTTAATTATTCAGAACAAACATTTTCAGCAAAGTAATTACTGGGCACTGCTCTAACTGTCATATTAAAGATGACCAACACTTTCAAAGGAAAAGAATGGATTATGTAAAGGATAGGAACTTAAAAGACAGACTACACAAATCACACTGTGGGATATATATATGTCCTCCCTGGAGAGGCAGTTCATGAATCCTGTGGCTTCTTGGAGCTAAGATCAGTTTGCAGAGAGCCAGCCTCCCATAGAGTTGTTTCCCATGCAGTTGGAAGGTAAATGTAATTGAGAAAGGGAGTAGGACATGAGGTAAAGAATAAAAGGAATTCTCCACTAGGTCTGTACTTGAGACGAGGAGTCAGAAGTTGCCTTTATCCCTTTAGCAAATCTTACTAGCAATAAAGAAGTGAATGTAGGGTGATGTGAATGGGATTGAGGGTCAGAATTTCTTCTGGACTAGAACAGGCATGTGTGTAGGAAGAACTGCAAGCATATGTCACTTTAACCCTTTAGCCTCCATCTTTAATAAAGCTCAGGAACACCAATATTTCCATGTCCCCTTAAACAAGGAACATTACCTTTTTAAAACCACATAACCACCTCTTCTATAAAAACAAAAGCTACCTTTATAGAGCTCCACTGTGATTCCAGGCACTCTGCTAGGCTCTTGCCATACATGATTTCTGATCTTCACTAAATTCTGTACAGAACATATTATCTTTTTTGTTAAAAAAAAAGGACTCAGGCAGCTTATATAACTTAGTTATGGACACATAGCTATTAAACAATAGCACGAATAGCACCAATTTTGAACAAAATTCTGACTCATTCTATTTCTACCAAACAATACTGTTTCTTGTTTTTAATCAAAAGAAGGCATCTGATTACATATTGTTTACCTATTACTTCAATAGGAAAAATGAGAGAACCAGAAAGTGTAACAATGAAATAGGCATTTTAATTTTAATTTAATGTAGTTGCTAAATGAACTTAAAGGTGCCGAATTTCTAAAACAAGAGCCTTCTAAAATTCTGCCTAGTGATCTTTAGAAGTTGCAAGAATTAAGCATAGGTTATTTACATATGATCTGTTTATAGTTTAAATAGAAGAGCTCTTCCACAGTCTCTGTTCTGAGATTTTCTTGGGAAAGCTATTTCAGTTACATATTGCTATGAAACAAATTGCCCTGAAACACATTACATTTGTTGTTAAACTAACAACCACTGTATTACATCTCACTAGCCCACAGGATTACTGGGTTCAGCTGAGTGGTTCTTCTGCTCCAGCTGTAGCTAGGGCTGCAATCCATTGGAGGTGTAACTGAGCTGAAAAAGTCAAGATTCACAACATGACCAGCAGCTGATGCCAGATGTCAGCCGGGAACTGAGCTGGGACTGTCAGATGGTGCACCAACATGTGGCTTCTCCATGTGGCCTGGACTTCTCACAGCATGGCAGCTGGGTTCTGGGAGGATACAGCCCAAGAGGGAGGAAGCACAAGCTGCCAGTTCTCCTTAAGACTGGCTTTGGAAGTGGTACGGGCTTATTTCCATTGCATCCTATTGGCCAAATAGTCACAGTGCCAGCTGAGATTCAAGGAAAGGGGAGATAAATCTTAATGGAGAGAGTGACAAGGAATTTGCAACCACAGTTAATCCACCACAACAGTTAGTCAATGTTAGTAAATCAACTTGGGTCAAGAGGCTTTGCAGTAATGTAGAATGAGATTCAGCAGAACCAAGTCAAAACACACTTATATTTCTGATACATAGTATTCCAGCTTCCTTCTAAACCAGTTTCAATGAAGAAAATGATCCTATCATGTTGTGCATACGTGAGTGCTTATGCTCAGTCGTGTCTGACTCTTTGCGACCCTTTGGACTGCAGCTCGCCAGGCTCCACTGTCTATGGGATTTTTCAGGCAAGAATACTGGAGTGGGTTGTTATTTCCTTCTCTAGGGGATCTTCCTGACCCAGGGACTGAACCTGCATCTCCTGTGTCTCCTGTAGGCAGATTCTTTACCCGCTGAGCCATCAAGGCAGCCCCCAATTATATCATCCAATAGAAAATACTCAAATTCCTCTGCTACTTCAAGTCAAGCTAGGCTACTGCTTCTGCATCCCTTTTATTTATTTTATTATCAGAAATATTTAGCATAGCTCCAGGAGATGAAAGAGAATGACCATATCACGTAAACTTACTTTCTCTTTTACTTTTTTTTTTCGGTGTATTGGCTATTTCCCATTGAAAACATTTATTTCTGAAAAAGTCTACCCTTGCTCTGTAAGTTTATGGCCAAACCATAGAATTTACTTTGTGATATCTAATACTATGATGATAGCAGTGATTTCATTTTTTGGATTGCAATCTTTGAGGATGACTATGTATAAATTATAATGATTTATTCATTGCTAATGAATTAATCAGGATTTTCACAAGAAAGCTTCAGGACTTAAAAGGATCCCCAAAACTTTCTGCTTCTTATGAGAGGACCAAGTACTCAAATGGATCTGTTAGCTTCTTCCCATCCAGTTGAAAATCTTCCCCCAGCTCACATCTCAGCCCCTCCATGGAACTCTTCCATGGTCCCAAGTCAAAGATACATCATTTTTTATTTTTATTGGGGTGCATCTTTCCAGGTGTTACCACTTAAAATGTGACATATATAGGATGGATGGGGAAGAATGCAATTTCTTTGAAGG